CGCTTAGGCTTTTATTATATAGATTGAAGTCCTTCATACTGGCTGGTTAAGTATCCCCTGCACTAAGCTCCCCTTCCCCCACCACTACTCCAGCTACACCTGCCACCCCCCAGGAACCACCCTGTCCTCACACCACCATTTCACCAGAATGCAGCACTAAAGAATTTAATACCTGGCCTACCAGGTGTGCTAGTGCCCCATGGCTGGCTTGAATTCCCATAAAGTGGTTGGTGGGTGCCCTGCTGTATAGGTTGCTATATATTTTTCATATCATCCCTAAAGGTTCATCTTGCTACCCAGTACTTGAAGAATGTTCAAAACATCCAGGGGGAAAAAAAAGCCCTAGAATCTTAGAAAGAGCCTGGCCAACGTGGCTCAGTGGTTGAGCATCGACCTATGAACCAGGAGTTCAGGGTTCGATTCCTGGTCAGGGCACATGCCTGTGTTGTGGGCTCAATCCCCAGTGGGGGGTGTGCAGGGGGCAGCTGATCAAGTAGTCTTCCTCTCCCTTCCTCTCTCTGAAGTCAATAAAAACATATTTTAAAAAAATCTTAGAAAGAGGCTCTATCTGTAATAGTGAAAATACTTGGATTGCCTTTAAGATGGTAAAAGTATCAGGCCACCTTCATCTCAATGAGTGCAGTATTCCTTTTTTGTTGTGGGTGTTTTTTTTGTATTTTTTCATAGACAAGAAAAGAAATGGGAAACCACATTCCTGACTCATGAGTCATGAGTCAAAATGGGACTCTGGTCTTTTTTAAACCGCAAAGCCCGACTTGCCTCCAAACTTTGCACCACACTCTTAACTGTCTTTAGATTCCAGTTCCATGAGGTGCACAGAAAATGAGACCGAAAAGCGAGGTGAGCACGTTTTCGGGCTCCCTCTTTGAGATGCCTTTAGGGCCCCCTAGTGGCTACTTTAAGATAGGTTTCTTAGACTAGTCTCCTTGACCCGGATTAAAGAGACCTTTCTGAATCTGTCCTGCGACAGGTACAGTAACTGTGTAGAGATAAATAGAGAACAGTTCGCTGAGAGAGCTCAGTATTTTTTCACTTCTCGGTTCTTAGCAAAAGCAATTCAGGTTCTTTAGAAGTAACAGATATATCACCTCACATATTTTATTCTGCATCCCTCATACTATATTATGTCACAGCTTAAATCCTTTCTAAGACATTTATACCCTGGTTTGTGTCAAAGGGCTCTAATTCATAGGCAAGTACATCCTACATGAGGTTTGGTGGGACAAATGAATTCTTTAAGTGCGGGGCATGGGTGGGGCTTGACATATTAACATTGCAACATTCCTCTCATTTAGAACATTAGATTTTCCAATGACTATAATACTGCAACATTGAATTGATAGAAAAAAGCTTTTACAAATTTAAGGTGCTTATTAACTGGTACAAGTAATTTTCGTGAAATGCTCAAATAATGAAATCAATGTTTTGACGTACTTTACTGACCAGAATGAATATTGCTCCCTCCTCCACGATGGCTCTATTTTTCTTTCTGAAATCCGGTCCAGAGATGCACTACACTTAGTTAAAATGGGGATATCTCTTTTTCCATATGCTTATCTTTTAGTTTCTGATGTTATTGCATTCTCTCTCTTTGCTTGTAAATTTCAGGTCTCCCTCTTCTTCCTCAGTCACCTTACCCTTATTCATATGCTAATATATTGTAATAATGCCATTTTGTACCATTAATGAAGTGTTTAGCAAAGCAATGAATAAAAAGAAAGCCCCAATTCCTGCTTTAACTTTACCCTGTTCTGAGGCTGGGGGCTGGAATAGGAGAGGAGGAAGTGAGTAGGCAGGCAGGGCAGTCCGTCTGCAAAAAAAATAAAAATAAAAATGACCCCCTTGTTTTCAGCGCGTTCCAGAGCCGGGCTGCACGTCAGAGGAAGAACGGAGCAGCGTTCCGGCTAAAAGGCTTGGCATTAAACTTTGACACTCTAATGGTCTCTCGGATATTAGATAATATTTTATCGTATAATGTTCTTCTTCGACACGGTAATGGCATCAGAACCAGATACCATCTCCTATCCCTGCAAACGTGCAGGGTGAGACTTATTCCCGCAGAGATAAGAGAGCAGGACCCCAGCTTCGCAGTTAACTTATCCCAAAGCTTCAAAGCAAACGTGTGTGTGTCTGTGTTTTTTTTTTTTTTTTTTTTTTTTTTTTTTTTTACTTCTTCGCCGGAGACGCTGCTGTGCAACCGCAACCTTCTTTTCGCAGTCTCCTCGGCTCGTCGGCCGCTGAGATTAGGTAAACTGCGCTCCAGAGCTGGGGGACAGCGGGGGCTGGTGGTGGAAAGGGGCGGGGGTCGTGGCCTGAAGAGCTGGAGGGAAGGAAGGGGACCGGGGAAGGGTCCCGACTGGGTCCAGCTAAGGGCTGGGTCCAGCTAGCTAGGAGCAAGGTCCGGAGTGAGCCAAGCGGCCGAACCTCCGAAGCCCTAGGTCTCTCTGCCTGACCTCTGGGGCCTGGGGTCCGCGCGGCAGCCCGAGCGGGGAGCCCTTTTCTTACGAACCCCTCCCCCTCCCCACCCTGGCACTTTATCTCAGCTTTTGCTTCCTTCCCCTGCCCCTTCCTAAAACTGGGGTGGGTTCCTCTGAGTCCCAGGGCTAAGAGAGGGGTGCTTGGAGGGAGGCGAGGCTGAGACCCGGCGGGCCCCGCCCGGCTGGGGAGAGGTGGGGACCCCGGGGGTAGGGGACCCCAGAAGCCTTGGGACCGAGCAGCGGAAAAACACGGGAGCTGGATCGCACGCCGGAGCTCCGGTCTCCCGGTCGGAGTTGTCCATCCCTCCACGTCCTCTTTCGTTCCCTGCCCCTCTGCTTTCTCTTCCTCGGGGTTTTCTCTCCAGGCCCCCCGCCCCTCTCATGCCCCCGCCCCTTCGCCCAGCCAATGGCACCCACTCCTTCCATGGCCCGAAAGGACTCTCGGCGCCCCACTCTCGGCTTTCGGAATGGGAGACGGGCAGTTCATTCAGCGGGATGTTACGCGCGGGGTTCTCATGCCGGGAGGGAAAGAGCTGGAATAAAATCTAAATGGGGAGGGGGTGGGCCGCGCGCGCATGGGGGTATGTGAATGGGGAAGGCGGTAAAGAAGTGCAGTTTCCCCGAAAGAATAGGGAACCTTGGGCCGGATTCTTGGATACCGAGTCCAAAATGACGCTGTCAAAGCCCTTCAACGTGGCTCCTCGCAGTCTCAGGCTGCCCCATACAAGAGAAGGGGAGACCCGGGTGGAAGGTGGAGGCGGGGAAACTTCCTACTTCCCAGGACCGCCGTTTTGTACCAGGGAGCGCGGACAGACAGCACGGCCCTTCGAGCCCGCTAGCGTCTCTACGGCGGCAGCTGCGGACCCGCCCCGCTCCCCTTCCCCCTCGTTCCGCGAGGCTCGCCAAGCCCGGAGCGGCCCCGAGTGGCCCGGAGCAGTCGGGCTGGGGAAGAAGGAAGGGGAGCTCCTGGCTGGCACCCTTTTCTCTTAACCCGGGCCGGGATCCCGGATCCGGGTGTTCCGTCTGCTGGCGAGCAGGCTGAAGAACTAGGGGGCGGAGCCTCGGCTGGGGGCGGGGCCTCGGCGG